TAAGGCATAGAAAACAAACTATGACAGTAAAAAAAGTCACTTATAAGAATAGATACACGTTGAAAACGGACAAAAGCGGCCCTTTTCAGAGATTGTAACAATCGGAAATTTGCCACAAACATTACCTTGAATATAACTGTGCAATTTTCTTTGACTGGGAAACGTCGTGAAGATTTAATCAAAGGAAGAAGAGTTCTATGGTTAAGGCTTCTTTTTAGGTTATGTTTCTTTTCGCATTCAGAGCTCTCCGCATAGGCTGCAAGAACGCCTCTCATATTTTGGGCCATCTAAGAAATACTTTTACATTATTCACTACCAAGTTACGAAAATTTTGAAAAAAGGATCACACCTTTACTCCAACACTGGATTTTCTTTGTTGGTAGGTTTAATTATAGAAAAGAAAAGATCTACTTTGTCTGATTACCTTACAATTCTTTCTCCCCCAAAAATGTGTACCTAGGAATCCAAAACCATCCAGAAAAAATTTTTTTGACGCTCTGAGAAGAGATGAAATGAAATCAATAAAACACTCCATGGCCATAGTCTTTTAAACGACCTAGTAACAATGAACCTACCTGGAGAGAAGAGTTTAGATTCAGTGACGGCAACTTTTATCCGTCCAAGATGTAGATTTTCACAGACTTGATTCCAGCGTTTTCTATAAAATTATGTTCATAAAGCATTTTAGAGAACGTAGTTTTGCCAAAATTCCCACTCTCCAATTTTCAATACTTTTTTATTTATTGAAATTCTTGAAAATTCTAATTGTTTGTTAAATTAAGAAGCAAAGGCGTAGTCAGAATTTGTAAACTTTCTGCACAAGCACAAACATATTACTGTTAAATAACTCACTTGGCAGCTTCCCTTTTGATCAGAAAATTTGGTGCTCTCATAAGATTCGAGAAATTTTCCTTCAAACTACTCTTCTTTCTTGGAGGTGTTTCGTTACCCGATAAGCTGATGAGGCTAATCTTTTTGCGAGGTGGATCAACAGTCGACGATTTTTTGCTCATTTCTAGCTGAATATCTGTAAATAGCAATAATCGTAATTAAGAAAAGGGAGTTTTTCTTTAAAAATTGTAAA